AGTGTACTGCCAAAGGGGCAGCAGCCAGAGCTCCCCTGTCACTTCACCCACACATGTGCCATTTATTGAGCACTTACTGTATGCAAGCAAGGAACAATCCTTTCCACGGGTTTTTTTTCTATTTATCTTCACAGTAGCCCAGGAGATTGGCATAACACTACCCCCATTTTACAGACAAGGAAACAGGCATACTGAGGTTATTGGTTCCATACGAGACAGTTTTAAATGGTCAAGCCAGGATTTGATAAAGCTGGAAAGATAGGAGACTCCATGACTAATTTATATAGAAAGGGAAAACCAGCTACCATTTAGCTACCTGCTAAATACTTTATGTTCATTATCTCTATCCTTTAGAGTTAGTCCGAAAGCCACACTTTACAAAGGAGGTGACGGAGAGCCGGACGGGTTTAGTGCATTGCCCAGGGTCCGGTAGCTTAGCAGGGCAAGCCTGGGGCTGGAGCCAGACAGGCTGATTCCAAAGGCTCCTCATCTCTGTGCCGGCCACGCTCGTTGTGAACGGGCACCCTGGGTCGGAGCCGACCCACGGGGGCCAGCATCCCTGGTTCTCAGCTACTCTGCAGTCCCGGTGACCCCCACCCCTCGGCGCCTGGGCTGATCCCTCAGGTGCCCCACGTCTCCCCTGGAGGCCACCCCTGCCCCCCACCTGGCTGCTGTCCTCCAGGGCCTGCGGCTCTGGTCAGGCCCACGGTCTGGTGACCTGGACACTGTTCTGCTCCTCAAGCCCCCAGGGACCTCCCCAGCCTTTCCCCCGCCTCCCTGCCACCAGGAAACTGCTTCAACTTGTGCTCTGTCTTCTGTCAGCTCCTGAGATGGTGAAGGGAGACCCCATCGGCTCCGCCACAGACATCTGGGGAGCGGGTGTGCTCACTTACATCATGTGAGTGCCCCTAGGACCCACCTTCTGCCTGTGCCCTCTCCCCCCCACTCCGCACCTCCCCAGCACACGCGAGTGTGCACAAGTGTGTGTATGCACACACACGTGTGTGCCCAGGTTCCTTACCCCTGTCCCTGAGTGCTGTGCCCCTGAGAACCCCCATACTGCTGTCCCCATGGACCTGTGAGTCAAGTCTCCATTCACGGGGGCCAACTGAACTGTCTCTACCACAGGCTCAGTGGACGCTCCCCGTTCTATGAGCCAGACCCCCAGGAAACGGAGGCTCGCATTGTGGGGGGCCGCTTTGATGCCTTCCAGTTGTACCCCAACACCTCCCAAAGCGCCACCCTCTTCTTGCGAAAGGTCCTCTCAGTACATCCCTGGTGAGTGGGCCCCACACCTGAAACCCCCCACAGCGTTACCCGTCCCTGGCCTCAGGCTGCTCCGGCCCAGTTCACACCTAAGATCCCCCAACTCTTCCCCTGCCCCCGATACTACACTGTTGCTACTACTGCTGCTAAATGGTTGTACTGCCCACCACTGAAAACCTACAGCAGCCCTCTAACATGAGCAGAATCCCTGTCCCCACTCCAGAGAGTGCCCCCGAGTTGCCCGGAGTCACTCCCTAGGGGTGAATCTGGACTGGGACTGGGATCCGTGGGCGGACAGAGCCCCGCCCCGCCCCGCCCCAGGCTCACCGTCTGGCTGGGCCTGGCAGGAGCCGGCCCTCCCTGCAGGACTGCCTGGCTCACCCATGGCTGCAGGACGCCTACCTGATGAAGCTGCGCCGCCAGACGCTCACCTTCACCACCAACCGGCTCAAGGAGTTCCTGGGTGAGCAGCGGCGACGCAGGGCCGAGGCCGCCACCCGCCACAAGGTGCTGCTCCGCTCCTACCCAGGCGGCCCCTAGTGGCTCGGACCACAGCCCGGCCCGGGCGTCCACTCGGGGCTCCCGCTGAGGCGGCGGGACATTCCACGGCCCACGCTGAGCTGGGCGGGCTCAGGGCTTCGGACACCACCAGCAGCAACATCCAGCCGGGCTATTACCTCACGGACCTGCGGGGACAGAGGCCCAGGGCTTCGGCCAGCGTCACCAGGCCCGAGCCAGAGCTGGAGACTCCTTGGCCAGGCTGGGTGGAGTCGGGAGCAGGAAGAGGGGCAAGAACGGAAATGGGAGAGAGAGGGATGAGTGAGAGAGAGGGATGGGAGACCGTAGGAAGGTTCCGGGGACGGGGGACAGTGCATCTTGGGGAGAGCGAACCGAGGAGGGTGTGAGTGGCTAAGAGGTGGAAGAGGAAGGAGCCCAGGGTGTCAAGGCCATGGGCTGGGATTGTCAGTGAAGCGAGGACAGGACGTGAAGACAGTGTCAGGGTGCCAGAGGCAGCATGTGCGTGAGGGCAGCGAGGTAGGGGAGGGAGAGGAGAGAGGACTCAGGTGGAGGTGGAGCCGGAGTGGGCCCGCTGCCAGCGTCCCAGAGGAAGGAGCGAGGATGGCCGGAGGCAGGAAGCAGCGGTCACTCAAGCCAGCGCTCTCCTGGTGCCCCAGTGGATGCAGCTCTGGGCCCCGTGCCGGCCCGAGGACACCCCCACTGCCCCCGCCGTGGCCTTCGCCCTTCTTCCCGTTCATATTTATTTATTTATTGACTTTTATGAAGTTTCCCTTCGATCCAATCCTAGTTGCTCATGTTGTCCTGACCACCCCCCCAGCCATCCAGCTGTCTGTGCAGCTGTCTGTCTGTCTGTCACAAGAGAAATAAAAACAGCAAGCAGCAGGATCTGCGTGTGGTCTGTGTGGAGGGATGGCTGGGAGTGCAGTGTGCTGGGACGGGGGCAGCTCGGCCTGACCTGGACTGGGGAGAGCCCAGGTGTACATACCAGTAGCGCCTTCAGACCTTCCCCCTCCCTCCCTGACCCTCCTGACCCCTTACCGCTCCCTGATTCCTAAAGGGAGGAGAGACTTCGGTCTGCTTCTCCCTCTGAAGTTTCTAGGGTCCTAGCAGGACCACTGAATCCCCACCACTACCCTCTAACCAGACTCTGGTGGCCCCCACCTCTTCTTCCCTGTCCCATCAACATACCTTGGAGAGTGTGAGACTCTGCGATGGACCAGCCCACACCCCAGTGCTGGCTCAGCCTTCTTTCCCCAGTACTTCCCAGCTCTGGTCCTGGCCCCCAGAGCAGAGGGGTTTAGCACAATGATTGTGAGGGCAGGTGGCATGAAGAGCTGCAGTGGAGACTGGGCCGGGCCCAGGCCCCCCGCTCCCAGTGCTAGGGCACCGGTCAGGGCACCGGCTGCACAGGGCAGATGTGAGCCCTCAGGTCTGTCTGCAGTGATGGTGCCACAGACAAGCATTTTCCTAGGCCCCAGGGACACTCAGCCCGGACCTTCTGATTCCCACAGCAAGCTAAGGGTCTGCTGGGTGGGAAGGCACCTTGACTCCAGCTGCAGTGCCACAGAATGGTCACGGGGCTCCAGGACTGAGCTGCCTTGCCCCGAGGTGGGGAGAGGAGTGAGCTAGTGCTCCTTGGGTCCAAAGGGACTGTCCCCCCCGCCCCCCCATCACCCCTTGAAAACTCTGCTCTTGACAACGTGGTAAGAATAAAGCTTCCACCGTGAGCAGGGAGGGCTGGCGCAGGTGTGTTGCTGATCGAGTTTGAGGGCTCCTTGGCTGGAGCCCAAACAACTCTCCACGCAGCCCAGCCCAGCCCAGCCCAGCCCAGCCTCTCTGGCTTCCCAGGACCTTAGGGAAGAGGCAATCCCCATCATCATAAAGTAACAGGATGTTGCCTTGGGCAGGTAGCTCAGTGGTATAGGCCAAGGTTTGGGGTTTGACCTCTGGTCAGGGCACACACAAAAATCAACCCATGAATGCATAAACAGGTGGGACGACAAATCGATGTTTCTCTTTCTCAAAGCAATAAATAAAATTTTTTTAAATGTTATGAAGTAATAGGATGCTAAAGCAGCTGGAAGGGACCAGACAGATGCCTTGCCTTGCTCAACTGTCATTTTAATGATGAAGATATACAGTTTGCCTGTGAGAATCTGTAATTCCCTACTCACTGCAAGTGTTTTCATATAAAAATGAGGTGCCTGAACTCATATCTTGATAAATGGTAATATCCCTCCCCTGTCCCCCCTCTGAGCTCGAGCTCTGGTCCCATCTCCATTGGAAATGACATGTGAACTGCTCGCTCCGGACCCGGAGGAGCGAAGGTAATTTATGTCAGCAGAGCTGTGTCAAAATTGCTCTGATCAAAAGGTGACGGTGCGCCACGCCTGGGTGTGCGATCACAGTGAACGCCAGCGGTTCTGTCCCTGGCCTGGGCAGGCCGGACTTGAGGCACGTCCCAGAGCAGCTAACCCGACCCCTTCACCCCTGGCGCTCGGATGCCCCGATGCGTCAGCTTTGCCCCCAAGTGGGCTTGGGACGACCTAAAGCCGCGGAGTCAGCGTTAGTGTCCACCTGCAGGGACAGTGCAGCCCAGCCGCACCCTACCGTGCCGGCGGGAGGCGAGTGAGTGGAGATGGAGGTGGTAGGAAGGGACGCGGTTCTCAAAAATCTTTTCCGTCCCCTCTAGGTTTATCTCAGTTTACCGCCAGGGGGCACAGTGCGGGAATGAGAACCGTAGGCTCTGGGGCGGGGCGGGGGTTCAGGCGCTTCCGGATTGGTCCCGACAGACACGTGGCCCTCTCATAATTGGCTGGATGGGCAGTTAAGTCCTCCGACAGTCTGACTTCATTCAGGGACACCCCCGCAAACACTCGCACCCCTTAACCTACTGCGTTTGGGGAAGGGCCCATGGTCCCATTGTCCAGGGACTCACCTGAGTGTCAAGCTGCCCCGGCTGGGAGCTGAATCTCCTGCCGGCTTGGGGCCTCGTCTGGTCCCTTCGGCGGTGGGATGGACACCCCCTGCCTTGGGAGGAGATGGGGCCGCGTCCAGCTGCCCAGCTGTCCAGGCACTGACGCGCAGTGCACCTCAGAGCTGCTCGAGTTTCCTCCCCCCACCCCCCACCCCCGGCCTGTCCCAGCGGCTGAGCCAGCATCCCAGGCATCCTCGGGCTAAATAAGGAGCCTGCTTGGGTCAGGGGGCGGGGGCTGGGGTCCCGGGGGGCTTGGGGCAATCACGCCAAACAAGGCAAGGAGGGGAGCGATGTATAAAACCAGGGCCCAGGGCTGAGCACCTGCCCGCGCCCCTCCTGTGCCATCCGGAAGGGCTCCGTACCGCCTGTTACCCAGTTAGTTGGACTTGAGTCCCGAAGTCGACGCCCCCTACCCCCACGGTGAGTCCCGATCCTCACACCAGCCCGAGACACTTCCATCCCCGGGGTATTTTGAATCCGGAGGCAAAGACTGGAGGTCGCAGTTTCTGGGTCAGCCTAGACCCCCCTGCTTGTTTTCTGCTCCCCAGATGTCCAAAGCAGCTCCCGCCAAAAAACCGGCGGCGACGGCCCCGCCTCCGGGATGTACCCTGGACATCAACGACCCCCAGGTCCAGAAAGCGGCCATTCGCATCCAGGCCTCTTACCGGGGCCACAGGTGAGGGGAGGCCCTGGAGCCCTCCGAAGGAAGGGAACTGGAGCTGCAGGAATCGCACTCCTGCTTTGGGGAGGGGCGGTACCGAGCACAGTGCCACGGACCGCCAGGTCACTGGGCTTAGGGGAGAGCAGTTACTGCGGTGTAGGAGGGTGGCCCACAAGAGTACATCGTTTTTTTAGGGTACGACTCAGGAGCGACCCCCTCCCTCCCCGTCCTCGGTGTTTAAGGGTCTAGTGGGCCAAGGGGGCAAGCAGGGGAAGGCGTGCGGGCAGACAAGGCTGCGGGCGGGTGGGAACAGTGTCGAGGGAGCTCTGGGCCCTGACCCTGCGCGCGGGTAGGTCCCGGAAGGAGCTGCGGGAGAAGGGGCCGCCGCGAGTGCTGGAGCCGCTGAAGGACGTAGTGCTGATCGAGGGCAGCGCGGCCAAGCTGACTTGCCGCATTTCGGCTTTCCCGGACCCATTCATCCGCTGGAGCAAGGATGGCAAGGAGCTGCGCGACGGGCCCAAGTACCGCTACGTCTTCGAGGACCCGGACGTAGTCGCATTGGTGGTGCGCGATGGCGAGCTGGCGGACTTGGGCCAGTACAGCATCAACGTAACCAACCCCTTCGGCCAGTGCTCCGACTCCGCGCGCATCCTCGTGGAAGGTACGCACGCTTCGGGTGCAATGCCACCGCGCAGGGCAGCACAACCCCGCGGGCGTCCGCAGGCGGGTTCATCCGCGCGTTTATCGCTGGGCCTAGTCGAGTCTGTAGGAGGATGTGCCTCCGCTCCACCAGCCCCTGGCACAGCCTGAGGCACAGAGCAGGGTGCAGCGCTGCAGGGGCTGAGCAGTCCTTCCCTACCTCGGGATCCCGCCCCACCCAGGCTAAAAAGTCCGCTATGGGTTTCAATCGCTCACCCAGGCTAAGGAGTCCGCTGTGGATTTCAGTCACTCGACTTCAGGGCCCCAAGGTCACAGCGAGCCAGAGACAGAGCCAGGGTTAGAGAGAGCCCTGGTCTTCCAAAGTAATTTCCACTACCCAAAACTGTCTCCAAGGTACCCCGAGACGTGTGAACATTCCAGAGCTTTCACCCATAGTATCTTTCTCTCTTTGTTTAAAAAAAAAAAAACACAAACAACTGATTGATTTTAAAGACAGCAGGAGAGAGAGATAGAGAGAGAGAGAGAGAGAGAGAGGGAGAGAGACGTTGATTTGTTCCACTTATTAATGCGTTCTTTGGTTGATTCTTGGATGTGCCCTGACCAGAAATCAAACCCACAATCTTGGTGTATCAGGACGTGTTCTAACCAACTGAGCTACCCGGGAAGAGACATACATAGTATCTCTTTTGACTTCCATTCAATCCTAAAAAAGTAGGAGAGGCAGGGATTAGTCTCGTTAACAGTCGAGTAGCTGAAGCCCCTGGGAGGCTGAAGACTTGTTCGAGGTAACGGTGGGAGTTTAAATCCGGCTCCTATTCAGGGCAGGGTATTAGCTGGGACGGTGATGTCCCGCCTGACCTTTAGGTCCCGCACTGGGTCGCACTCCCTTTGCCTTCCTTTAGTCCCGGCGAAAATTCAGAAGGGACCGGATAACACCAAAGCGCGCAAAGGCGCCACGGTGACGCTGACTGCGGAGATCCTGGGTGAGCCTGCGCCCGACGTGGGCTGGACCAAGGACGGCGAGGACATCGAAGAGGATGACAGGCAAGGGCGGGGACCTGCTGCAGAAAGGGCAGGGCCTGGCGCAGGAGCCTGGGCCGGATGTGGCCCAGAAAACCCGCGGGAGAGGGACGAGGGTGGGGCACTGGGAAGCGAAGAGCAGAGCTGGCCAAGCGGCCGGGCCCCGCGAGCACGTAACCTGACCTGCCGCCCCGCCCCGCCCTGCCTCTCCTTCCCGCACAGGGTGTTCTTCGAGATCGGCACCACCACCACCACGCTCACCATCCGCCGGGCCACACCCCAGGACAGTGGCAAGTACGAGGTGTACGTGGAGAACTGCCTGGGTATGGACCAGAGCTTCGCCCGCGTGGACGTGGCCTGAAAGGGACCCTCGGAACTTCCGCTCCGTTTCCAAGCCCAGGGGTGGGTGGCACCAACAACTCCCTGCCACCTTGCTTAATAAAGCTGCTCCCTCGGACCCTTCGCGTCTGTTCTCTTTCTTTGGGGTCGCTGTTTCCACTCCCTGGCACCCGCACACACACTTATTCCAGATCCACACACCAAAGTCACAAAATGCTGGGTCAGCGGGAAGTTTGGAGAGCGCCTAGGCCAGTCCCTTACTTTACAGACAGTGAGACCGAGATAGGCTTCTGCCGCGGTGGGAAGGTCCTTCGGTTCCAGCAGGAGGGGCAGAGGTGTCCATGACTCCGCCTTCTCTCCTTCTGTATACCTCAAGCCTCGCCCTCTCGCGGGGGGTTTGCACTCTGACCACGTCCGTTTCAAGGGTGACTACACCCCCTCCTGTCTCCAGCCTCGTTTCTCCTTGTGACCTAGTCCTCCACTTTGGCTGCTACTCCTGGGCCCATTTCCAGACAGCTCGTGGTCCCAACTCGAGTTCCAGCCTCTGCTTTTTAGGCTCCACCCTTCTTCTCATTTGGACACGCCCCCTTAATCCCATGGCCACGCCCCCACGTTCTCCCACAAATTCCATCTCTCCGTTAGAAAGAGGAAGGAACTTAAGAACTACAATTCCCGGCAGACTTTGCGAAGTTCTCGCGTATTGCGAGAAGACACGTGCGCGGAAGGAGCAAGCAGTAGCTGGCGGCAGAGCTGGAATAGAGGGGACTAGTGGTAAAAGGATTTGATGGAGAGGGGGGCGAAAGGGGTTCAGAGCAGGGACGGCTCCTAGACGGAGGGCGGCTCGGAGGTCCCGGCCGGCTCTCCGCACGTCGGGTGCTGTGCTGGTCCCACACCCTCCGGATACGCATTAGGGTCTATTAGTCAGTTGTGAGGTTCATAGAGTCCGCCGTCAGCCCTCTGAATCCGCAGATTCAGCACTTGACAGTGTTGGGACGCAGGGGATTGGTATGTTGTGTTTAGGATGCCAAGAGAAACTCTTTTGATTCGGGGTTCATCACTTAGAGGTTCATTTTAGGATTTAGGTTCAGCATATTTATCGGGTTTGGATTTATCAAATGCAGATAAAGGTTAGTTTAATACTTGAAGTTCACTCTTAGGACTGTAGTTAAGTATTTGATGCTCACTCAGGATTTGAGGTTCAGTATCAGGGTTCACTGTTGGGATTCAGGGCTTAATATCTAGAATGAGGATGGACCAATTGGGAAATCAGTGGCTTGGGGTTTGGGTTTTTTAAGGTTTGGGGTGTGAGAAGGATGTCTGTTGCTGAGTTTCTGAGCTTGCTGAGTTGGTGGGGAGAGGGGAGTCTGTTAGGGGTCAATGGCAAGGTATGGATTTCAGAATTTGGGAGGGATCACTGTGGGTTTGAAGGCCGACTGGAATGAGTTTGGGATTTGAGATGTGGTGTTGTGCCCAGCGAGGGACTATACTGAATCTTGGATTTACATCCTGGGAGAGAGAGGACTCGGTGTTGCTATTTTGGGTTCAGGGTTTGGTTGGGTATGAGTGGGGTCCCTGGGCTGGGTGTGAGCCTGACTTCTCTGGGATTTGAGGTTTAGGTAGCAGCCGCTGTCATGCTTAAAGCTGTGATCCTGATCGGAGGCCCTCAAAAGGGTGAGGAGCCCGGGAAAGGCGGGGAGGAAGTTGGGCCGGACTGGTTGGTGGGGTGGGGGCAGATGGAGGCAGAAAGCTGAAATGTGCCTCTCTTTCCTCTCTCAGGGACCCGCTTCAGGCCTTTGTCCTTTGAGGTGCCCAAACCCCTATTTCCAGTGGCAGGGGTCCCCATGATCCAGCACCACATCGAGGCCTGTGCCCAGGTAACCCAATAGGCGCCCCTCTTGCACCCCACTTCCCGCTCATCTCCTTCACGCCGTATTTCCCCCTTTTCCAGCCTTGACCTCTTCCCGCCAGGTGTACCTCCAGGGACCACCTTTTACAAATGACACTATGAATGCCCCTCCCCCCAGGCTGTGCACTGCAGCTGTCTTGCTCTCTTCTCCTAATCTAGTCTGTCATCTGGCCCCTCCTTGCTTAGATTTCACTCCTATATTTAAAGCGTGGAATGTGAGATTAGGCAGGAATCTTAGAGACAACTTAGAGCCGTCACGTGGGAAACCTTCATGATAACAAAGCACAGAATCACACTACCCTTGCTCACTGTGGAGTTAATTTCTTTATTGCTGTTGGTGCAGGGACTGGTCAGGTTTTGATTTGAGCCCAGTCTCTGCCTGCTAAAAGGAATTGAGCAAATTTCTCACCCTAGGTTTCCTTATTTGTAAAGTGGGGTGATTAGACCTACTTTGTGGGGTTGTGAAGCTTAGAGATATTTGCAAAGTAAGTAGCACAAGGTAGGCACTTGATAAATGGCATCCTTACCTCATGCTGATCTTAAGCTCAAATTGACAGATAATAATATGAAGGAAATGAATAGATTATCCTTTAATGCAGCTTGGTAGACAAAAATCTCCTAGGGTGAACTTCACTTCAGATGTGGGGGTGGGGGGATGGGTTGGCAAAAAAGTTCATTTGTTTTTTTCCATAAGATAGCTCAAGTATTACTTAGTTGTCTTTAATTTCATTGGAAACAAATTTGTTAGATTGTATTGTGACAGCTGTCATATCAGCGTGCATTTTTTTTTATTTTTAAAAAGATTTTATTTCTTTTGGAGAGGGGGAAGAGAGGGAAAAAAGGAAGAGAAATATCAAAATGTGGTTGCCTCTTGTGCGCCCCCCACTGGGGACGTGGCCCACAACCCAGGCATGTGCCCTGACTGAGAATCGAACTGGTGACCCTTTGGTTTGCAGGCCAGCACTCAATCCACTGAACCATACCAGCCAGGGCCTCAGCATGCATTTAAAAAAACTTATCAAAATTGGGAAAATTTTGTGTAGCCATTTGAATATTGAAGATAGAAGAAAATACACATTTTTGGCATACTATATGTTATTTCAAGAAAGGTTAAAAACAACTGAAACACAAAGACTTGTGCAGTGTATAGAGAAGGTGCTGTGACTGATCAAAAGTGTCAAAAGTGGTTTGCGAAGTTTCGTGCTGGAGATCTCTTGCTGGACACTGCTGCACGGTCAGGTAGACCTGCTGAAGTGGACAGTGATCAGACCAAGGCATTGATTGAGAACAATCAGCATTACACCACACAGGAGATAGCCGACGTACTCAAAATACCCAAATCAATAAAGTTACTGGTGAAGATGGAAAGTGTGTATTTTATTTTATGGGGAAAAAAACTGAACAGACTTTTCAGCCAGCCCAATGGAATAATAAAAGATTCAAAGATCAGTGACTGAGACTTGCTAGCTTCCTCATTTTCCAGAGAAGAAATCAGGCCAGCTTGGAAAATGAGTGCCCAGGGCCACAGCTGAGACTGAAACTGTGGTTTCTGGATTTGGGGCCAGCACCAGGGATTTCTCCCCCTTGTCATTCCTTCCTGTAAGATGTTATTTTCCTCTTAACCTCTTCCCTTGTCCTCAGGTCCCTGGGATGCAGGAGATTCTGCTCATTGGCTTCTACCAACCTGATGAGCCGCTTACCCGGTTCCTAGAAGCTGCCCAGCAGGAGTTTAACCTTCCAGTCAGGTCAGGTGTTTGTGCGCATGTGCTGCATGGGGGTAGGGGAGCCCTAGGCGTCTGAGTCCTCCGTCTGAGTCCTGTGGGATGGGTTGAGTCAGCATTTGCCAGAAGTCACCCTCACACACTAGGAGGTTTCTTATTTGGGCATTCCTGAATCTCTGTATATATTGAGTTTCTCTGTGGGCCTTGGGCAGGTGTTTCCTAGGAATAGGAGGGGCCGGTTCCCAGGCTCAAGGTATCTGTCTCCTATTATCTCACTGAGCTGGCTCTGGGGTCCCTGGGGACAGGTACCTGCAGGAATTTGCCCCTCTGGGCACAGGAGGTGGTCTTTACCATTTCCGGGACCAGATCCTGGCTGGGGGCCCCGAGGCCTTCTTCGTGCTCAACGCTGACGTTTGCTCTGACTTCCCCTTGAACGCCATGTTGGCTGCCCACAGACAGCAGCCTCACCCTTTCTTGCTCCTGGGGACCACGGTGAGGGACCCTGAATGGCTGGAGGGGGTCGAGGGGGTGAACCAGAGAGGTTCCTGGAATGCAGGGTGTTGGGGAGGCAGGGATAGCCCAGGGAGTTGCAGTGGGAATGGGCGTCAGGAGGGAGGGGTGCTAGAAACCCCAGCAGTGGTGGAGGTGGCTGTGGAGAGAGCCCCTGAGCCCTTCGGCTGCTCAGAAGTAGGAGGGGAGGGCAGCTGTCAGGTGTTCTCACCCCGGCTGAAGGCTTGTCAGTGTCGGAGCTGCAGCGCTGCGTGCCAGGTGCCATAGGGGAGGGAAAACAGGAAAGAGAAAACAGACCTTGCTGCCCTGGAGCAGGCTGGTCCCTGTCTCATGTGTCTGTCTTCCAGGCTAACAGGACACAATCCCTCAGCTATGGCTGCATTGTAGAGAACCCACAGACACACGAGGTAAGAGCAGAGAGGAGGCCGGCTGGGTGCCTCTTCTGAGTGTCATCATTCTCCCACTCCTCAGCCTCCAGACAGCACCGGAGCCCTGTGGGGTGGGCCCCAGTCTCGTCAGACAAGCGGGGCATGCCCTCCGTTGTTCCTCCTTGTCCCTTTAAGAAAGATTGGTGCAGAGGTAGCAGCTAAGTGCCACAGCGCAGTGCTCCAATAGACGTACGTGCAGGATGCTATGGCAACACAGAAGGGGGCCCAACCCAGCCTACCTGGGAGAGGGTGGGGAGGGCTCCCTGGAGGAGAGGAGGTGTGAAGCGAGTTAAATTTGTTAACGTGAAGGAGGCAGGTGTTGCAGGCAGAGGGGACGGTATGTGCAAAGGCACGGAGGCAGGGACCAGTGCCTCCAGCATGATGGCGGTGGGAGCGTACTTACTCAGCAGGGCCGGGGGAGCAGCAGGGATCTCTGAAACTCCCTGCCCTGGAGTCTAGGTGACTTTCATACACCCTTCTGGTTTGTTCAAGTTTTAGAATTAAAAATATGTGCGAACACACACACACACGAAGTTTTGTTAGGCACTAGCTAGGTGTGAGAGAAACAGAACCAGAAAGACACAATCCCTGCCCCTCAGGAATCCTCAGTCTGGTGGGAGAGAGTCAGAAACCAACCATTGCAAACAAGGGAAGTGCCAGTGCCGGTCGGTGAGGTGTGGCCGGAGGACAGGAGTGCCCAGAGCTGAGACGCTAACTCCGCAGCCGACAGACAGGGGTGGGCTTAGAGAGGGAGTGACGGTGTCAGCTGGGTTTTCCGAAAGTGAACTTTTCCAGGTGG